TCAAATTGGAATCAAATGGCGCAGCAGCAACAACAATCACTAAATTGGAATTCCACGATCCAACAACAGCCACCACAACAGCAACAAATAGGGTGGAGCCTACCTGTTGGTAGTCCACCTGAACCAATATATCCCTCTATTCCGGGCGTTATCAGGATACCTCCGGCAACATCGATGATGCACGGAAGAACTGGAAATAAATCTCAATCAACCTTTGAAAAAAATTAATCTACGTCGTCGTAAAATTACTGATTATGATTGTCGGGTAAAAATATCGCATCTCTCTCACTTATAGATTCAATCTATTATTTATTATCGGGAAATCGAAAAAAAAGTAAAAGTAGTATATTTATATTTTATGCTTTTAAATATATTGCCAAATAATCAAGATTTTTTCATGCAGACTAAGATCTCTTCTATTATTGTACAACACAGCCCTTTATGGAACATCAACACATAAAAAATACGACATATTCGTAACTATGTATTATGTTGACCCAAAAAAAGATGCAAGTCAAGGATTTCTATTCCACACATATATATAGAGCAATAACCACATAATTATTTAATTCGGCACCGATTTAATCGAGATTCCAATATCTGTGTGTATGTGTGTTATAAAAGTGTATATACATCAATATATAGATGGGTGGGTGGGAATTGGGACATTATTTCAATACACGTTACCTTACACGGTAATCATCACTTTAAGAAAAATAATAATTAGCGTTAATGAGTGTGTGTGTATATACAAAAACAGACAAATCACCATTCTATTATTTTAATATTTATTTACCTGCAGCTGATAAATCCTGGTTCAGTAGGTGACGCCGCAACGCATCGAACGATTCCAGCGTGTCCTTCATTCATTCATTTATCTCAGCCGTCATAGTCAGATTTACATAAAATAGTTATAGAAAAATATAATCTGACTTACCAGACCATTGCTTTACTAGCTCGCCTGTTCGAGTGTCCCAGCAGACGACATTATTCGTAGTTTCGTCGCTACTGAGAACGTAATCTTCATTATTTGTAAAACTTGATTGTAATGAGTGATTCTAGAAATGTTCAGAAAAATTATTAAACATACACACACACACACACACACATGTAGATGTAATTAATTTACTTGCTGCACCGCTCCCTTATATTCCATCAAGCATTTGCCACTTCCCGTGTCCCATAGTCGTAACATCGAATCCTTTCCACTAGATAGCACAAACTTTCCATTACGCGAAAATTGCACGCTTGATACAGTAACACCTTCGTGAGCTTTTTCGATCGTCCGCTGACATCTTCCGCTTACAACATCCCAGATTTTAATACTGCCATCTAATGAAGACGTGACAAATTGTCCGCCATTATGCACGAATCGAACCTTTTTTAATTTATAATAAAATTTTTAATAAGTTTTTTGAAATTGTTTGTTTTTATATGGATTTACCTTTGTTATTCCGCCTTGATGAAGGTCCGATTGATTGTTGGACGCTGTATAGCATTGGAATTTTTTAACGTCGTAGATTCTCACGGATTCATGATCCGTACCTAATAGTTATATGTAGGCACTGTTTTATTATCTAGATTCTATAATTTTGAAAGAATAAGCGAAGTCTAACCCGCTAGTATAAAGTCGCCTGATGGATGGAATGCTATCGAGCGTACTACATGTGTATCCTAACCATAAAAAAAGTTATTTAGAGCATGAATAGCAAGTGTGAAAAACAATTGACAAATATATTGAATTCATATGCAATTAATCATACTTGTAAGTACCGAAACGATCGCTTAACGCCCGGTTTCGAAAGATCAAATAATTTTATACTTTGATCATCTGAACATGATGCGAGAACCAATCCATTAGGATGAAAAGATAAATCATTTACACCCTAAAAATAATGGATCATTAAAAAAACTTTAAATTAAGGGCTTCCCCATATCATTTTTTATATATTTTTTAAATGAACTTACTGCTGTATGATCGTACAATGTGCGTATAACAGGTCTATCCTCGTCAGATCGACTATTCATTTTACTTGTATCGAGAACTTTGAGAGATGCATCGGCAGAACCGGTCGCTGCATATTTTCCTATTTTTATAATATGAAGCAAGTAATTATATTAAAAAAGAAAAGCTTAATAAGATATACATGATAATTAACTAGCTTTCATTCACTCATTTGATGCCTTATAATTTACTTTTTCTCTCCTCTTTCCTTAAACAAAACTCATCATACCATCACCACTAAAAATTGCACATGTAGAAGCAGCTCGATGAGTGGTTATGTACCATGTATTATAATTTGGCGGTGATTTGGTTTCTAGTGGCAAAAATAGTCAGTTAGCGCATAAAGACATCCTTAAAATATGAAAATAAAGAATTGTTTTAGCAGCAATACCTGGGACATCGTCCGGATCCATACTCGTAAGACATTTAGAAACAACCGTATTAGTGTAATGACTCTCTTCGACTGGTGATGATTCGTCTCCAATATCATCATCGTCGTCATCGGGCATCATTAGTGACGGATGCATCTCTTCTTCTTCTATATTTGTTTGTTTTAAGAATGTTCATAAATCGAAACGAATTATTTAAATAAAATCTAATAAAACCTTGTTCTTTGGCAATATACAGCAACTCCGATAATCGCGAGCTTGGTGTCAGATCAATCGAACTATCTGTTTGAGCTGCAACTATTTGTGCAAGCGAGGTATATCCATAATCACAGAGTTGGCTTTTTGATGAGAAAAATAAATGCGCAATTTTGATTGGAATTCAACGTATAAGATTCGTGTAAGATCGTAAATCGCGAAAGGATCCAGACATATATAAAAGATTAAAAAAAATAAAACGTGATTCTTCTCACAGATAGATAAATAATAAAGAAATCAATAGATCAATTAAATTTTATTAAGATTGATTTTTGAGAAAAATTTATTTTAGACTTTCAAAATATATACAAGTTATTTCTTTCTGCTAGTTATTTCACACCAAGTGAGTTGTATTATCACGAAAGATATTGAAGCTGCTAGGTGATAAAAAGGTCAAGCTCACCATTACCTCACAATCAATGGAATAACTTCATGTTGTGGAAGAGTAGGTGGGTCCATTTGTAAGATACGATAGCGATAAAAATTTAATCCAAAATATTATTAAATGCAGACCAGAGATGTACATTAATCCTAATGCCGGTTGGAATTATTGACCATTTTAGATATGATATCGATAATCTTTCAGTGTTCCGGTAATATTGTTTCTTTAAATTTAAATTTGAAAAAATGGAAAAAGAGATTCTGGAAATAGGACTGATAGGATTGGGTGATATGGGAATGATGTATGCAAAACATATTGTAAAGGCTGGTTGGAAGCGGTATGTTAGAAAAAACGAGAGGGTGTGAGTATTCGAGATATATTTCTATAAATAAATATTATATATCGAATTTGAAATCTTAACTAGAGTGAATGTGTGTGACATTCCATCCCGATTTCCGCAACTAAAGGAACAATTGAAAGGTGAGTTGAATCTGGCGAAATCAAAAAGGAATTAAATAAAAATTATTATAATTTTATTATCTTTTGTTAAATATATACAGATAGTGGTATGAATGTATTGCTGGATGGACATGCAGTGTCACGAAGAAGTGATTTCATTATTTATTCTGTGGAAGCGGAGAATATCGGTAAAGTTGTGGAAATATATGGTCCATGTAAGTCGAATTCGCATTTTCATAATTCAGATTATTTTCACTTATGATGGAGGCTCCTTCCTTCTTTTAAATTAGTAATTAAGATTCTTTAAATTTTTTAACAAAGCAACAAAAGTTGATGCAGTTGTCGGTGGTCAGGTAATCATAAAAATAATATTATTGTTTTGCTATAGCCATTTATAAAAATATATTAATATTTGGGGGAAATACGAATCGAACAAAGTAAAGATGATTTGGATTTCTATTTTTGGCAACAATAATAATCATAATAAAATAATAATATAGATTTTTTGCTGATGATGATCCGATGATATCATATGATCTGAAAGTTTAGACCTCCGTAAAAGAACCGGAAATTTTGGCTTTCGAGAAACATCTACCAGATGATGTACATATTGTGTCGTTTCATTCTCTTCATGGACCGACTGTTGATCCGAAAGAGCAGCCTTTGGTATGTTCTTTCTGTACCTTTTTTTTTTGATATTTAAATATAATAATCATTAAGATATTTGTTTTTGGAAGGTGATGATCAAGCATCGGGCATCAAAAGAAAAATTCGACATGGCGAAACGTGTCTTGTCCTGTTTAGAATCGGACATGGTCGAATTATCATATAAAGAGCATGATCGTATTACTGCTGATACGCAGGCTGTCACCCATGTTGCTTTCCTCAGGTTTGTATTCTAATTTTTATGATTATAATTCATTAATATTAATAAACTATTGTTCATGGTTTTCTTAAAATATATAAGTATGGGAACTGCATGGAAGACTCAACAGCAATTTCCGGTAATTATTTATTTTCTTATGGTATTAGTTAAAAGGAAGTAAATTGAATTGTATATACTGTTCTTGTAGTGGGAGACACCACAATATGTAGGCGGAATTGAGAATGTCAAAGTGAATATGGCGTTGAGAATTTATTCCAACAAGTGGCATGTTTATGCAGGTATCGTATTCTTAATAAAAATAGGGATGAGAATTTTATGTTGATATTTAATGCAATTATACATAGGACTTGCCATAATGAATCCAAGTGCTAAAACTCAAATTCACCAATATGCGCAATCTGTGTCCGATCTATTTAAACTGATGATTCAGGAAAAGGAAGAAGAATTTTCGAATCGTGTTAGAAGGGTAACACTCGAGATATCCACTTTATGCACAAAATACCACTTTATGCACAAAATACCACTTTAAAATTGTTATGACTAATTCTGTTCATTAATTAGGCCGGAGATTTTGTTTTCGGAAAAGTGATTGGAGATCGTGAACCGATTCTATTATCGGATTTGTATCTCGACAAATTTTCACTATCGATTGTACCGAAAGAGAATCGAAAACCTAATTCACATTTGTCGTTGTTAGCGATGGTAAATCGTCAATACAAACCATGCTCAAAAAATTGTTAACTAACCTTGTTTTTATTAGGCGGACTGTTGGTACACTCTAAGAATCAATCCTTACGAGCACATGGTGTGTCAGACACCTTTATTCAGACTTTGGACGTATGTATATTGTTTATTCATCAATTTCGCTTATTCTTTCCCTTAATCATTTTCAACATTCCATACACAATATATAGCGGAATAACCGAATATCTGTTTCGAAACACCGAAATGCTAGAAGAAGCGATTCAATCAGCATTATACGACAGAGATATTCGCGCTGATGATATGGAGTTCTATAGCGCGTCAAAAGGATGGGCCGAGTGCGTAGATATTGGAAATATGATTGCGTATAAACTGAGATTCGAATCAACTGCTCAATTTTTTGAGCCACGGTATAATATTTCTCTTTATTGTTTGTTTATGGTGCACTCTAATTAAATATATGTTAACATTTCTATTAAAACAATCATATAAACAGATTCGAAGAAAATAATAAACTTGGCAAAGAAATGATCAATTTGATTACGAAGAAGACGCATAATGAATGAGTGAAATTTAATATTAGACTAATTTGGTCAATCATCTCATCAATTCCCCTATTAAATTCAGATGATTAAACTATATTGATCAAAATTTTTAGAATTTATTTACTACGATTATTATTGTATCATACTTTTTTCTTCTCCGATCCAAATCCTCTAAATATCTGATCCCGAATTTCCGGCTCGACAAACATCCAAGCTTTCAAAAACTCTAAATCCTGTTGCCCACGATCGATTAATCTCCATACTTGCTCTATATCTTTTTCTTCGCGATACAGTTCGAATAGTTCGCGTACGTTGAATTTGGTTTTTTCGCGTAAATAATGAAACGGAAATTGTTTGGGATTTCGTATAAATCGAAGTGTAGCGCGGTATAGATGAAGCGAAGGAAGATGTGGCGGTTGCGGATGTATATTGTGCGGTCGATTGATTATTATATTCTGTCCGAAAATGAAAATGATGATGATTTTCTCGATATAGATTTCTTGTCAAAGTTTCGTCGTGTGGAACGTTGCACTTTCTAACATAGAAACTAATTACTTGAAATTCGGTAGCTGTGCTTTTTTGTGAATATGCCACATCAATTTAAGTTTATTGAATAATTAATCCGAAGCCCAATATGTTGGGTTGCTCATATTTGCCTCTCATTTAACTATTCAATTATAACATTGCTGATTCTCCAGGATAGACGATTACGCTTTTATTTTGATGACATTGTTTTCTTCTTCCGTTGGGAATCAATACTAATTCGAAATGAAAAAAAAAATATTATTCACCTTAACTTTATTCATCGCGCAAAAATTCAGAATAGATTCGGACCAATTGATAAATCGGGAATCTTCGTATCACACAGAAATTTTATTTCTCCCTACTATATATATCCCGCACCACTTCAAACCTAATAGCCCAACTTTGACTATATAAAGCTAACTATTAACACTCGCTGGATGCCAAAACATGGTGCTCTTAGTAGTTTTAGACAACGTAAGAGTCTATACAAGGGTTTTTTTAAAAAAAATTGATTAGTGAATTGGTTATTATTATGTTTATGGTTACTACGTTTTATGATTTGTCATAATTATTAAAGCGATTTTGCTCATAATATTTGCAAATTAATAGACAAAAGCATGGCTATCAATAGCTAAAAGTGATTTTGTTCATAATATTTGCCACTAAATAGACAAAAACATGGTTATCAATAGCTACCGCGTTGTCACTCAGCTACTTAAGAGATTTTCACGTGATTTATACAATTTTAGGCGCACTAACCACCACTATATTAGGTTTGTTATTTGTTTCTCTTTCTAATGGTTTTTTTGTTGATTAATTTAAAGATCCAAATAACTGCGTCAAAAAAATAGCCAAAATTCTTAAGCTAATAATTCGTCAACCGCGTCCAAATCGATCATTGCCACCAACAACTATCGGTAATAATGATATCGGTCTTAATAAGGATGTCGACAAAAATCCTCTAGTAAAATTAGACAATTACGGAATGCCATCAACCCATTCTTCCTCAATAATGTTTTTTGCAACCTACATCTCTCTTCATTTATTCGCTAAAAACTTGGATTTCATCGCCGTCCTAACACTGCTTGTAATTCTTGTGATGACTGCTCTTTCTGTTGTGTGGTCGCGTGTTGAATTGGGACATCATACAAGAGGACAAGTCTTAGCTGGGATGGCCTTGGGTCTGACGTTTGCTTTTTCATGGGATTTGTGGTGGCGGAAGTGGTGGTGGCCCTGGTTGTTTGCTAGAGATTTGGGAGGTAAGCTTGGGTGGCGAGAGATCCAAATTTTTGTTGAATCGATTGCGAAGGAGATAATAATTTACAATAGTGACAAATTGTAAAATTTGATATTTATAATTTTTATAGATAATGATTAAATTAATTTAGAAATTCTACGATTAGAAAATAAATATATATATAAATTCATTCTACAAGAATAATAATACAAATATCTAAATATGTATGCTTTGTTAAAATTCTACATTATAGCTTCACACGCAAAAAATAATTCCCCAAAATCCGCATCGTAACTTAAGATGCAAAAAATAAACCCTCAAAGATCAGAATCTATAAATTAAATAAATCCGTTATCTCATGCGCTACCCATACTATTCTATAAGAATGTGATCTAGTTTATTATATCCCCGATGGAAAATATTTTCCATCCATACTTAGGAAATTGATTACTTTTTCGTGAACTTCCACCTGAAACGGGGCAAACGAAACTTTTTCGCCATCGATACTGATCATGCCTTCTTTAGCTTTTGGTGTTACTCTGAATGCTTTCACTTTGTAATAATTAAGCTACAAGTATTCACACAGGTAAGCAGGCAGATAGATATTCACAAATAAACATTAGATATGAAATCATTACAGCTTAACAAAAATTCTGAATATATTTTCGAGAAAAATATTTCTTCCTACTCACCACCTTCGTATCTATATGAGTCCCTTTTGCAATCTTCTCGAGAATTTCAATAGACTGAAGTTTTGATAATTTGTCTTTCCACGCAATACATAAATCTACGTTTCCATCAGCCGGTAAAGCACACGGAAAGAAAAGTGCTCCTTTTGCCATCCAAGGCGTTTTGCCTGCGTAGAATAGACTAATGTCTTCGGTGAAGACGGTCCAGTCATCCGGGACTGGATCATTGAGGCTACCATATACATTTACCAAATGATTTTTTGTATCGCTGTGGTGGCTGTTGTTGGATCGTGGAATTCCAATTTAGTGATTGTTGTTGCTGCTGCGCCATTTGATTCCAATTTGA